CACACCACACACACACACCACACATCACACACACACACACATCACACACACACACACACACACCACACACACACACACACACACACACACACACACAGCTGAGATCAGGTTACAAAGCTAAAGGATGGACCTAACACCCCCAAGTAACCCAGGCCCACACCAAAGGAAAGAACTGCCCTTGACCGTGGCCTTCTCTTTCTGTTTTGATGTCTGTGTGCATATGTGTGCAGGGTTTTTGAAGAGAGCATGCTCAGTGCAAACTGTACAAGCTAGGTTTTCTAGAAATTGTGTTCTAGGGATAGGAGTCGTGGGACAGAATGAGTTTTGGTTTTGTTTAAAGTATTCTGAGTGGTAAAAGGGAGTCGTGGCGGAATAGTACCACGATGGCTTAAGTTGTGTACGAAGTTTTCCCCAGTATTCCCACAATATAGACAGTTGTGGATTTGTGTATCTAGGTCTGAATCTCTGAGATATTATTTTTCCCTGCAGAGATGCAAAGAGACACTTTTTTTGTTTTGTTTTTTGTGTTGTTGTTTTCAAGGGAGGTGACTGAGTGCAATTTTGTCTTGCTTTAAGTGCTAGAAAATTAGGACAGGAATCGCAGCATTGGAAGTTACCATCATTCTTGTTTGAATTTCATAGCTTCATCAAAGGGGAAAAAACTGTTGTTGAGCATCTCATTCTTCCAGGAAAAAGAACTTTAGGGGAAAGGCTGTAGCTCAGCTTGGCAGCTGATGAGCATGATGAGTTTTTCCGATAGTGTTCCTCCCTGTTCTGGGAAGGGCTTCACACCGAGACTCTTGACTCGACGGTTCTCTGCCTGCACTAGGGCTCCGACCAACTCTGTCGGTTCCTGAGTTGGCCACTGTTTGTCTTTTTGGTGGTTGTATTAATACCAATCTTACAACGTACAACCGATCTTCCATATAAGAGAAGTTTGGAATTAGGGAGGAAGAAGAGCAAAGAGCGTCAAAGTGGGGATTTTTCTCTTCAAGGCTTACATGCTGGGTTTTGTCCCCCGCCCCAAGATATTCATTTCTCGAACACAGTTGGAATTAGCCAGAGAAGCAGGAGGAAGTGATTTGCAGCAATCTAGTTACTGAGGGCTCTACTCAGGAAGAGCTGGGTGAATCAGACAGAGCTCTTGGGCCCTGGGCTCAAGAGGAATCGAAATAGAAGTCATTTTGCTGACTTGGTTGCTTGAGCATCCCAGCTCCTGACTCCCTCCTGCTGCTGAGAATAGCCTTTCTTCTCGAACTGGAATACGTTTCTCTTGCTTATGTTCTGGTCAATTAAGCAAATATGGGCAGCCCTTTGCAAGCAGGCCTTACCCTAGGCTCCAGGAACGGGATCGGTTTAGAGTCAGTAGTATTAAGAGAATGGGAAAAACCTCCCACTTGAATACAAATATTTAAGATAAGTCCATTCTGTGCGAAGTCCTCTGTAGCAGAACATGTTTCAGATTACAGATCCATTCAGCATCTGATGGAAACCAGAATTTACTTTGCAGGAAAGTAGTCATTTACCAGTTCACTCATTTGCATGTGCATTAAGCGGACTTAGTTCTGCCCGTGGAATCTTCCAACTGGAGTAAGGGAAAGGGGAAAAGCTCATTGTGGTGTCTCACACCTGTAACCCCAGCACTGGGGAGGCAGAGGCAGTTGGATCTCTAAGTTCTAGGTCAGCCAAGGCTATGTAATGAGATCCTGTGTAAAAATCAGGAGGCATGTATCCCTGTCTGACTCGGGATTGCTGTATAGAAACCTGTGCCAAGAATTACAAGGCAAGATTCAGGAAATATTGTAAGGACTGAAATACTAGAAGGCATCAAGACAGGAGGACAGAGCCGGGTGTGTAGTGACTGGGATCTGCTTACGCGGCACTCTGTTCTTGGGGAACCCTGGCGCACTCACAGCTCCGCTCGCTCACCCGATTTTAAAGGACGTGTGGCGGTTACCTTCTGTCCTACCAGACTATGCCTTGTGATAACCACACTGAACCTCCAGCCTTTTCTCGGTCTTAGTAATTGCAGGGACAGAAAGTGGAGCCCTCGAAGTGTGGGTGCAGCTACACCACCCCCGCTGCAAGGCGGCATGGGATTGAAGGGCTTCGTGCAAAGGGAAGGGTCCTTGGGCTCATTTCGGATGTATTGCTATCTTTTCTACCTCGATCCAATACCACCTCCTTTGGACAAATAATAAAAGAAGCAACAGCCATTAAATGAGTGACTACGTCTGTTCTGCACCCCCACCCCCGCCCCCAGGAAACTCTCCACAGCCTCAGACTTTTCACCTTCTCCACTCTTGTGCCTCATCACCACACTGTCCCCTTAATTTTTTCAAGTTTTATGTGTATGAGTCTGAATGTATGTACGTATGTGCACCACATGTATGTCTGAATGTCTGATGCCCTCAGAGATCCAACGTGGGCAATGGATATCCCAGAACTGTTATCATGGATGATTTGTGAACCAACTACCACGTGGGTGCTGAGAATGGAATCTGTGTCCTCTGCAAGAGCAACAAGTGCTCTTAAAGGTGGAGCCATCTTTCCCGACCCCCACACTAGCCCTTTTAAATAAAACGTTTCAATGTTCTCCCTGGGCAAGCTGTAAAATAGGGTGGTCTATCTGGGGGAGCCTATTGGTGTGTCTTCAGTATTCTGGATATCTGCCCCTTTTCCTTCTCCTGGAGAATGCTCACACAGCACATTGCAGCCCAAAGGCTATTGCCTTCCCAAGGCTCTTTGCATTTTAAACAACATTGGTAGTGTATGTGTCTTGCTAGAGAGATGCTATGCTTTCAGGAGAGGTATAGGGACCAGAGTTTGGGACAAAGCCTCTCCCTTCCCAACACTCCTACAAGGAAACTACTGTTTCCTCTTTCCACCAAGGGCACTAGGAGCCCTGCCCCAGACCTAGAGGTCCCTTCTGTCCCTTTTCAGTGATCACACAGAATGGGGCTAGGTGAGACTGGCCTGGCAAAACTCCATCTTTCCTCGTGTGCTCTACCGCACTGTGCTTCTCAAAATGTAGTCTTTGGCAGGGCAGTGGTGGAGGAGACCTTTAATCGCAGCACTCCGGAGACAGAGGCAGGAGGATTTCTGTGAGTTCGAAGCCAGCCTGGTCTACAAAGTGAGTTCCAGGACAGGCTCCAAAGCTACACAGAGAAACCCTGTCTCAAAAAAGTAGTCTTTGAGCCCAACAACCATTTTTTTTAGCATGCCCTCCAGAATTGAGATCCATTGGCTAGAGATTAAGATTTCATCCAAGCAGCGACACGTCACCCTCTAAGTGGAACGTCACTCAGGAGGCTCGTCCTGGGTTCTGCTCCTACTTTCTTCCCTCACTCCCAGAGAAGGAGAGTTAGTCACCAACACCTGAAACACCAACCTCCCGTAATTGACTGGGACTGGGGATTTCAAGATCTCATTATTTCACACTGAAAACAAAACAAAACAAACAAACAAACAAACCAAAACCGCTTGGGTCCACACCTCAGGCTCCGCCCCTCTTTCTTCCCACCACTTCTGTCCCCCACAAGCCGCACACTCCTGCTCCTTCTCACTTCTGTTTGGTTGGGTTTTGTTTTGAGCAATCCCAGCCTTTCCCAAGGGCATTCATTCTGCCCCGTTTCTGTCTCTGAGAACCTAGTTTCTCTCTCAAGTTTCTGGCTAACTCCACTCCATCATGATCCCATCTGTCCCTCTGCCTACTGCACCGTGTTGTCTTTAACTCTCTGCCACGCTGTGGTCAACCCACCTTTCCACTCCTTAATTATTATTATTTTTTTTTTTTGGTTTTTCAAGACAGGGTTTCTCTGTGTAGCTTTGCGCCTTTCCTGGATCTCACTCTGTAGCCCAGGCTGGCCTCGAACTCACAGAGATCCGCCTGACTCTGCCTCCAGAGTGCTGGGATTAAAGGCGTGCGCCACCACCGCCCGACTCCACTCCTTAATTCTTGACTCGGCTACAGCTACTCTTCTCCCCGCTCCCTTCTCTCTCCATGTCCTTCCCTCTTCTCTCTACTGTATTCAAAAAATCTCGTCCACAGTGCGCCACCACCGTCCCACTGTTTGCCTCCACCTGCAGGATCTAGCTCGTTTATTCCTTCCCCCAGATACTTTTCTTAATGCACATTCTACCTTTTTTTTTTTGGGGGGGGGTAATTGGCCCCTTGTTTCCTGAGCCTCAAACTGTCTCAATTCGGGTAGGTAGGGTGGCCATAGGACGATGACCTAACGCGCCCTGCTCTAAGTTTCTGTTCCCCATTCGCCGCTCCAATTTTTTTTTAAAGCCATGACAGAGTATGTGCTGTGGGGTGAGGTGAAGAATTGAAGGGGAGGCTGTGTCTCAGTCTCGACCAGCCCCCAGTCGCTCCTCCAAATCAAGCCTCAGAAACAAGCTCCCCCAACACACACACACACACACACACACACACACACACACACACACACACACACACACACACGCACGCTGCCCAGCTCCCAGTACTGCTGGGCCAGTGACCAGCTCCAGAGGGCGCAGCAGTGGGGGACAGAGTGGGTGGGGCCCGAGAACCAGGACAGACCTTGGATACCGCCCTCCCTCACCCCCACCCCCGCGCGCGCACCCCACCCCTCCACCCAGTCTCCAGGCCACTCTGCCCACCCTACCTTTGGGAGATCAGAGTACGGAGCCCCAGGTGGTGATGACCGCCTCCAGCTGGCCTCTAGGCAAGTTCACAGAAACTAGACATTTTCAGGAAGCTAAATGAAGCGTAAAGCGGGCACTGGTGGGGTTAGGACCCCGAGAAAGCAGGCTCTGG